ATTTAAATTTTAATTATTATTATTATTATTTTTACAGCCAACCTGCAAATGAATGCTTGAATTCTGTGAATTTACGAGAATTTACGTGATATTAGAAAAACAGGAATAATCTTTAAAATAAAACTTGTTGCATTTTTCAGTCTTTGATATATATATTTAAATAGCAAATAGCTGTAAAGTAATAATATTTGTGCCAACTTAATGCTGTAAAAGTAGTGTGGTTTGATGGTCACATTACCATTTGTAAAAATACAGATTTTTGATGTGGATGGTGTTTTTAGTTTTAGGATGTTACTGTTGTAACCTTTAACATATAAATTCATACCTTTTTGTGTTTTTACGGGATATTATCTGTAATGTAACAAAACAGGGACAATTTAAATGACATGTGAAAGCCGTTTAAAAAAATGTTTCAGTGTTTTCTAGGGTTAAATAAATAAAGATTGTCTGCACTTTCTGCACTTTGTTGTATGATTTCATTCCACAAAAGCCAAGCCTATAAATAAGTTCTACACTTAAACTGACAGTAGTGATTTCAGGGTTATACTTTTCTGCTACTTGATCACAAAGATAACCTGGAATGTATAAATGTATTTCATTTGAGAATTCTAAAACATGAAAATACAGTTCCATTTAACATAATACCTGGATATTATTCAACTTTACAGCTCAGTAATTCAAAAGTGATGTAGCATACAACATAATGTAGTAGGACATTGCTTATTTTGACATTATGCTGTATTATTATTAATTAAAATTATGTCGAATTTACTTAAACACATGACAACTCCATCCATCCATCTATCCATTATCTATACACCGCTTAATCCTCACTAGGGTCGCGGGGAGGCTGGAGTCTAACCCAGCTGACTTAGGGCGAAGGCAGGGGACACCCTGGACAGGTAGCCAGTCCATCGCAGGGCCAACATGACAACTCTTGTGATAAAAACGGAGCTACAGAATATGGATATTTAATTTTTTTGGTGATAAAGATATTTATTTCAATTGCTTGATTTATCCATCTGTCAATCAACAGAAAACAGCCAATTTGGATACACCGTTTTTCTCATGCACTTGTCAGTTTTGAGATGTAACATGTCTTCTTTCAGACTAATGTGAAAGAAAACACAAAGTACTCATTAAAATCTTTATTTTACTACATTTTGTCAATATGCATGTGTAGAGTTTGATTTTAAAGCGTGTCTCTACAGGCTATTGTCTCAAAATGTGCATTTTTTCTTCTGCTTCGGACCAGAAATCTCCACTTTAGTAGCACACATATATTAAACTTTCCGTTTTGGTTTTTATTCATACTTGTGTGTGTTTCTGTGACATATAAAATGATAAAAACTAATAAAATAAATTTTTTAAACCTTTGACTAAAATATGTCAACAAAATGAATCAAGGACGCTACTTTATGCCTGCTATGGAAATTAATACAAATTAGGACATTTTTATATAGGTAATAACTCATTTGCATTTTTTAAATGTAACATTTTAGGAAATTTTAAAAATACATACAAAAAAAAAGTTATTTTAATATAAATAAAAATGTTTAATTGGTATTAATCAGTTGGGAAAGTTTCATGTAGAAAAAAATAATAATTATGTTATTATATTTATAAAGCAAAAATGCAAAACATTCTTGGGCTCCGGATTCTACTAAATGAAGATTTACAGCCTTTCCTGTTTTTTTTTTTTAGTTATTATTTTATTTTTTTTTTTAAATCAAACCAAACCAAAACAACACATCCAACTTCATCATTACCTGCACGTTTTTAGTGTATACGCCCTCTGAGCAGCTTTCATTGGCCGACAGGAGGCCATATACACGTCAATCACATAAATGCCCAATAGCTGCAGAGCATTTCTCCTCGTGGAGCGTGATTGGCCAATCTTAACAAGGCGCCCCGCCCACTGATTTACTCCCACAGGTGCTTCGGACCGATTAATCAGTGATTGGAACCAAAAAAATCCATAATTCAGTGGATTAAACCTCCGGTAAAACCACAAAAAATACGGTTACAGGTTCTGTCGGTCTTTTTGAACCAGTTAACCGTCAGCAGATGAGTGTTTTCGGTACAGGACGGGTTTTTTTTTTCTGCTTCAGGGTGCGTTGGAGTGCGTCATAGATGGTTGGTCACCGGTCCACCTGCTGCCTGCCGTTTCCGAGCTGCTGTTTTGGATTAGGACTCTTCTAGAACCTTGCTCTTGTCTACAATGTTGACTTCATTAAGGTAAGCCTTATGTGCCAACATGTTTCAGGCTTTAGTGCTATGGCTGCTAAGCTCACGGCTAAGCTAATGGTGATGCACTCGTGCTGTGGTCTATTTGAGGTCTCGAGCGCATTTTTGCCCCAAACAGTTAAATTTAATTCTAAGAGTAGATTTCAGGGAGGACGCAGAAGATAAGTCCTGCTTAAATGTTGCCTCCAACCCACTGTCCTGCTTGAATTTTGTGTTTTCTTTTATATTAACAGACATTTAGACCAGAATTTGATGCAGAAAAGGCACAAAATGGTGCAAAATGCAGGAAGTTAAGTCAAACTCTGATACAAGCCCAGACTTCTGCTTAATGTGTCCCCCAAATACTCAAATGAAACTAACTCTGATGGTGACAAAATACACATGTAGGTGTTTATTTATTTATTCGTTATCTTTCTGCATGTGAAGGTTTATATATAAAACATGTCTTCAAAGGCTTTTGTTCTCTCAAAACATTTGGAAACAAGACTCTGAGAAAGAAATGTCCCATTCAGGAGCTCCTTTCTCAAGATAAACAGTCTTTGCAGTTTGATTCTTTATCTGTAGGCCGAAGGTTTTTACAGCAGGGTTTGTTCATTTTAACATTCATGGCCTGATCAATGAAATGTTTTTAACTTATAGTTAGCGCCTATATTTTTAATACTTGCACTTTTGCACATTTCGGGGTTTCTTTTTTTTCTACAATTAAGTCTGCACGTGTCGATTTAAATTGAAAAACAGATCTTTAAAGGCTGTTTTTATGTCAAAATTAGTTTATTTCTCACACAATTTCCACTCCAGGAGCACCTACGTACACACAGACTTTCCTGTTTCATTCATGTCTATGTTCTGAAGGTTTTTATAGCGGGGTTTGTTCATGTAACATTCATGGTCTGATTTCTGGAAAGTTTTCAACTTATCGTTAACATCTATATTTTCAATACTTGCACTTTTGGATGTTATTTAACTTGATGTCTGTACTGTATTCCTAAATAAGAATTTAATACCTAAAAAGGCAAAAACACTGCTGTTTCATGGATTTGTCTAATTTGAGATTTGGGGATATTTAGCTTCCATCACATCTTTTTTCAGACTAGTTTGTTTTACTACACTTTGTCTGTGTGCATATGTAGATTTAAATTGTAAACTATGTTTTTGAAAGCTTGAGATTTCCACTTCAGAAGTATCTACATAAACCAAGCTTTCTAGTTGAAGGTTTTTACAGTCGGGTTTGTCTATTTATCATTTATTGCTGATTTTATAGAATATTAAAACCTTTTCATGCATGTACTGACTTTTTTCCCCCCTGCCCTTATGCACTACTGCCTGACATGCATTTGTCAATTTTAAGATTTTTTCGGGAAGAATATTTAGCCTCCATAAAGACTCATGGAAAGAAAATACACATTTTGGTGCTTATTTTACTACATTTTTTACTTTTACACTACTCTCTGCCTAAAATCATACATGTACAGTGCACACAAGCATTCTGCCCTGTATTTAATTTATTTAACTTGACGTCTGTATTGTATTGTCTTTTGAAACCTGCCTTTGTGTGCGAATAATGAAAGTTACTGACGCCTACTGTACTGAGGCAGGATCTTGAAAATGAAGGAAGCAGGTTTTTGTAGCTGTGATCTCATTAAACCACATCACTGTGTACTGCCAGCGCAGAAATACACAGCCGAGTCTGACGCATCCACGCTGTCAATAACCAGACCTCCTGTTTGGATGTTTTCTCTTGTGATTTTAAACCGATTTTCAAACTCCTTTTCGTAGTTGGGGTTGCTGAGATAGTAGCCAAATCCAATTAAATTCATCTTTCCGCTCTCTGTTTGCTGATACCAGAGCATCACATTGAGAGCACCGTCATCGTGGCTACATGTAAACTCCACTTTCTCCTTGCTGTTGGTTATTATTGGTTGAGTTTCCTTAAATGTCACACTCTCGGCTTGATCTGTGGGGGAAAAAAAGAATGTAAAAGCAGTTTGTATTAAAGAAAGCAGTTAAATCCCTGTCAATTGCAATAACATTACATGGAAGCAGGATGAGGAGAAATGCAATCACAGACGCCGACATCCTCCAGGTTTGTGCTGCTGCTGCTGCTTCACTGAGAATCTGCAGAAAGAAACGGCTTCATTTACAGGAAAAGTTGAGAGTTTTTAGTCAGCGAGAAGCATCAAACCACATCACTGTGTGCTGGCGGCGCAGAAGTAAACAGCCGAGTGCGACTGATTGGCTTTCTTTATCATCAGAGCTCCTTCTGTTGCGCTTCGTCTCGTCAGTTTAAACTGTTCCTCAAATTGACCCTCGTAGTTTTCAGACATTTCATATCCGAACCCGATGAGGGTCAAAGCCGTGTTGTCCTGTTTTTGTTGATACCAGAGCATTATTATAAGGGAGCTGTCATCGTGGCTGCAGTTAATGTGGACCTCACTGCTTTCTGTCACTATCCTGGAAGGAAGTTGGTGAAATGTTACGGCGCTCACCTGACCTGTGGAGATAAAGGCAGCAGACGTCAGACATCTTTATGTCAACAACAGTGATGGCTGAGCAAGTTCAGGGTGAAATTTGAGGTCTTACATGAGAACCAGATGAAGAGAAAAACAAAGGTTTGCACACGTGGAGACATTGTCGAGCGCTGACGTGAAGAAAAGCATTTCTCATAGAATAACAAGGCTCCAGCTGAAGAGGGAGGGAGTTTATGTAGTTTTAATCCATCACCACTCCCTCGTGATGAAGGCGTCTTGTCGTGTGCTGTGCCTCCACCTGTTGGTCAAAACGATCCAGGACGGCTATGATGTTAGAAACAGCAGGAAAAAATAGCCAGTAGTGTCATTTTTTCATCTTAGACAGCAGTTTCTTACTTATTCCCATTTTCTTTTTAGCAGTTTTACTCACTCTGGGTTTATTTTCACTGCAATATAAAGTCCTGCACCTTTGTGTAAACGGAACAACCAGTAAAAAATTATAATGTCATTAGTCGTCAAGGAATTAAACTTCTTTGATTATATTTTTGTAAAAAAAATAAAAATTAAATAATGGAATCATTTTTCCCCCCAATTGCCCACAGGTGTTGGCAATACTGAGGGGGGAAAAAACAAACAAACAAAAAAAGAGCGGTGACTCAACATACTCCAGATATTTAACTACTTATATTTTTACAACCTCCACAAATTGTGTTTTTCACAATAAATCTACATATCAGCTACAGAAAGATACTTCACCATGCTGAACGTATCGTCTTTTTTATTCTTTTTCTTTTACTTTCATTCCACTTATCTGTATTTTTTCCTCTTTTTTTAATGTGCTATGCCATTTTTGGTGCTTTTAATATTTAGTTTGTTTCAGTTGGTGTTTGTTGGGTGGGTTTTATATGTTGAAAATCCTGTATTTATTTTATCTTATTTAGCTGTATGTCTCCACTTATTGCTTCTCTAGTCTCTTTTCTGTCTGTTTGGCCTCACTGGCCTTCTGTTGTTATATTAGCTTAGTGAGCAATCTGTATTGAGCACTTTATTTTTAAAATGTGCTGCGTAAATAGAGGTATTTTTATTATTCCAGCTACTTGATGACAGCTTGCTTCTCTGCATTCTGTTTTTATTGCTCGAGTATGCTTTGTTTTGCTCTTTGCCTCTCTGTTTTGTTTCCATCCTCTTTGCTTTGTTAAACACAGCCTACAGTTCAGCTGAATAGTCTCAGAATTTTTGTCCCGTGACTGCTGGTTGCAGCTTGACTCACTAATGACTTCCTGAGAAACACATAATTTATTGATTTTTACTGAAGCAGTGCAAGCGCAAATGGTTTATTTTATTCAAATTTTAAATGAGACCTGTGAAAGACAGGGATTTAGATAAAATACCCAGATTTTAAGATGAGATGGGTAGTTCAAGGACTGTTGGAAAGTTCAGTTCTGTCAGTTTTTACAGTTTCTGGCTCTGATAAATGATGAAAAACGACTGCCTTTTTAAGCCTGCTGGTGGGCTTTGGGGTTCAGTAACATGCGCAGTAAGAGTTGCTGATATTATCTTGTGAGTCAGGTGTGAGAACAACAAACCTCCTCTGTGCTGTATGTTTTTGTCACAGTGCTGAGGCCTGCCGCAGCACTGTGCAGACTGGCAGCACACAGATAAGCCGCCTCGTCTTTCTCCTCAACGCTGGATATCGTCAGAGTCCACTGCTTGCCTGATGCTGCTGCCTTAAAACCAGAATTGAATCCCTCTTCAAAGTCTGAAATGGTAGCTACTACAACCACCATCAGCTCAAGACCTTTCCCTCTCTGCTTTCTGTACCAGTACAGATACTGATAGTCAGTGTCGTTCTGGTAGCAGTGCATCTCTGCTGAGCTGTTGGGACGGTTGGAGATGTAGCGAGGCCACTGAGTGATCAGGACAGACTCAGAAGCACCTGAAACAAAGAAAAGAGAAAAAATGACAAACATATCGATAAAATAGTTTCAGTATCGTACATCGTTTTATCTTCATAGATATTAATTTTACCTGCAGCCCAGAATATAAGGAAAGCCACAGTGGTGACACCTGGAGTCATTTTGACTGTAAAAGAGGAAATGAACTCAAACACAGTGAGTCAACAGCTGAGATCTGCAGAGAGGAAACGCCGTCAGTTTGTCTGTGACGTAAAGTGAAAACATTCCCAGCTCATCAAATGAACACGGCCTGCAGTTTAGTCGAAAAATCCACACATTTTTGTGACGTCACTGTTGCTCGTAGCTGAGTCACTGATGGCTTCACAGTTGCACAGAGGAGCACAACATTATTCGCTTTTTTTTTTTTTTTTACAGAATCTGGTTTGTACAAATAGTTTAATTTTGGCATATTTTTTAGATCAGACATGTGGAATATCTGAACTCTTTTTGTTTGTTTTCAGAGTTTTGTAGATAAACACACACATGAAGTATAAAAAGAAATGCAACATTAAAAAAACAGTGTTTTATGGGTCATTTCAGAATTGGAGGACATTTTACATCCAGCCATGAAATTTCATACAATCTATATACGAAATGTTAAAGCATGCAGTTTTTGAGTGAATTGTACGAGTTGATTGTTGATTAAAATACCAAATACGTCTGGATTACCCCCTAAAATGCAAATTTTCTCTTGTCACACCCCCTTGATGACCAAATTGAATCTCAAATAAAACAGTTAAAATACATTTTAAATTTCTTTTGTATTATTTTGTTCATAGATGTCTCTTGTAATTGTGGAAACTTTTGTTTTAATCGACATAATTTTTTAAATATTAATTATTATGTGAGGAATCTATGTCCCACAACATGCATGCAGCCCTGTTACCCTGACATTTTTAGCGTAGTAGAAGAAGAAGAAATCAGTGAGTCACATGACGTAACGGAATTTACAACATCAGATTCCCAACAGCATGGGTGGGTCAAAGGTATGTCCTGTCTTCTCTTTTTCATATTTTTGTAACATTGTTGGCCTTTCTTGAATGTCTCACTCTACCTCACGCAACCCTGTTGTGCAAATTATCAGGATAAAGCAAATGCATTAATTTTTTTAAATTGACAAATTTACTTTAGTAAGTTTGTCCTCTTGGTCATTAAAAACGGCTAGCTCAGCAGCTAGTGTCTAATCCTGAGAAAAAGGTAACATTTGCATGAATTTGCAACCCTGTTACTGTGATTGGAGTAACAGGGCTGCATCTCCTCCAGTTTACTCAGAAACTGTTATTTATGATTCAGTTAAATAATTTGCATAATCTAAACAATTTAAACATATTAATGAACTTTTTGAAAAAGGCCCATCCATCTCCAACATCCAAAGTCAACAGAATGCTCAGGGAAGCTTCGCACACATCAATGTAAAGAACCCTGTTGTTCCATACAGCAGTAGCTGAAGAAGTGCAGACAAAGTACAAAAATTCAACTAGAGAGAGTCACAGACAACTCATTGCAGGAGTAATCACAAGCAAAATCCTGAAGAAGTACAGGCTGCAGAAATTGGTACAGGAGGTACTTGGATTTTAAAGAAGATGATGGAAAAACCTGGGAAATGAAAATGTCTGCTGCTACAAGAGGAAGGAATACAATGGAATTGGTGCCACAGTGAGAGGAAAGGTTATGTCGTTCGTTGTGCGTGGTGATGTGAGCAGGGTCACTACTGGAAAAAAAGCAAACAGTGACACAAGGAAGTAGGAAAATGCAGAGAAGACTGCTTCTGGATTCAATGAAAAAATCTCCATTTAAAGTTCCTGGCTGAGCAGACCCACATTCGTCTGTCATACTCACTGCTTTGCACACTTCGTCCCTACTGGGTTGTGCAGCCAACGCTGGCAGATCGTAAAACATGTTTGTGCAAACAACATGAAAATCTTGGCTTTATTACAAAAGAAACTTCACCAGATGTACATCATTGATACATTCAGTTCGGGGAGCCTGGCAGAAGCCATCACGTGTGACCCCACAACCAAGCAATGTATGTATAGAGAATGGGATGAATGCAACAATAAGACCTATCCATTGACTAGCCATTATGAAGCTGCACATCGTGTCTCCTACCTTCAGTGGGCCACTGTTGACAAAAAGCACAAAGATGATTCTAGAGCAACATCAAAGATAACTTTGAAAAAAGAATATGAATCTTCACAAAAAGAACTGGTGGGAACATTTGCCACTGTGCTCCAGACGTGTAGGCGCCATCTCTACAACATCAGGCAGCAGTATGCTTTCTCACGAGCCCTGAAGCAGAACCTTCCAGCACATGAATGTGGAGTCCATGTTGATTTCTCAGAAAACTATGGTTGCAAATACAGCACAGAAGTGCAACCTGTCCATTTTGGTGCATCACGTCAACAGGCCACCTTGTACACTGGTGCGTATTATGTGGGGGGAGAATCTGACCCCAGCTCCTTCTGCACCATAGCGGCATCAAGATTGAAGGGACCTCCTGCAATATGGCAGCACCTGGAGCCCATTAAGACGGGGTTTACCAGGGGTTCCTGGAGTTACTTGGAAGCCAGCCATGGCAAAGGAGCCCCAGATAGCATAGGCAGGACACTGAAGAGGAGGGCCGACAGGAGTTGATATTACCATACCAATATCTCTGTACCAAGCTCTGAAAGATGAACAGTCAAAAGTGAAATTGTTTTACATTCAGGAACAAGATGTAGAGGATGCAGTGGAGGAAATGCCAGCTAAGCTTCCAGCTGTACCATCTACAATGAGGATTCACCAGGTACTCACTTCACTGTTTCTTTATGATCCTTATTTAGATGAAGCACTTTCAACTGATTTGTGTATGAACTGTGGACTATGAATCTTCTTACCTTGCCTTGCCAGGTGGTCACCTGGGAAAATCCTCTACCGTGATGTCAGCTGCATATGTTCTGCAGCTGGGAATCTGGAGTGTAATTGCCAAAAGCCCAAAAAATAAATTAATCTACCTTTTACGGGTACCTGAATGTTGGTAACAGGGTGGCACCAAATAAAGCAAATAACAAATAAAACATACAATAAAACTTCTGCCTTTGATACCTGAGCTGAGCCAATCAAGCTTTTTATAGTTGATGACCTATTATTGATGAATAACAGAAAATTGAAAAAGAGAAGGTTTGTTGTTCAAAAATTTTGAAGCCCAAATGTCCTCCAATTCTGGACCCTTATCTTATGACTGTATGATATAATAGATACACATATTAGTCAGTTCTGCTCCTGGTGTAGTTTTTATATTCCTTGTCTCTCTCATGTACATAATGAGTACAGAAAAGACTTTCACATGGGATGCAGCGAGGAAACAACTGTGTATTCTCACTCACAGCACCTTCACCAAGCCTCCTGTTTTCTTGAGATGCTACTTCGACACTGAGACTTCCTTTAAGTTTGCACATTCAGACTGATTTTTGGGAGACAAGGAGGCTGAACTTAGAGAAATGAAATAAGCTTGTTGTTTGTCCTCTCAGCACGTGGAGGAAGCGCCTGATGCTTTTTGTAAAGGAATGAATGTTCTGTAATGTCGAAACGTTCCTCAAAGCTCTCCTCAGTGTTTTGGTTTTCAAAATATGTGCTGATACCAAAACATGTAGGAATGGTTGTGTGGTTTGGAGGTTTGCAGGTGATACACAAATAATGGAATAATGTCTAGATGACAGGAGGAAGAACTGATGGTACATAATAACATACGTTAGAGTCGCGAGAAAGTATTTTATAACACTTACCTGTGAGCAAAGACAAAGAAAAAAATGAAATAACCAACATATTAAAACTTCATGCAGCTGCATTGCTCTCTGCAGAGGTGTCAGTGAAAACAGCAGCATGAAATCTTCCTGTATCATTCATACGGTGGAAGGAGGAGCTTCCATCCATGTGCATGTCAGTGTTTCATCACTGCTCTCTGCTGGTCAGTGTTTGGATTCTGGTTCATGCAGAAGAAACACTGTGTGGCAGCATAAAGCATAATGACACTGTGACTGACATTACTCACACCCTAAAGCAGGGAGCGCTGAACCACATAAAGTTAAAATAATCTATTGTTATGGGGAGTTAAGTATATATATATATTAATCAGTTTTGTAGTTGTAGAAAATCAGGAAACGCAGTTTAGCGGAGATATTTTGTGTGCACTCCACGTTATTTTCCAAAAAAAGATGATTTCTACATGAATAATTTGTTTTCAGTCAGACTGGAACAGACATTTTGCTAACTGCATTAGCTTTTACCTACTGTATGGAGAGCTGAATGTTTGGTTTCTTTTATCCATCTAGTTAATTTAAGTGAGGTGCAACAAGGCTCGGGGTTGTAGCCGAGAAATGTATTACAATAAATTCTTTAATTTAAGTCAACAGTGATAATTATTGATAAGTTTTATTGGCCTAGTTTTAATAAAGACCAGGAGAAAAATTAAATATTTAAGTTGAATGTAACCACTTGAGCCTGTTTTTAAAGTACACAGGTTATAATTTTATTTATTTAGTATTTTTTTATACAAATGAAATTTTACACAATGTGCTTTGTAGAACAAAGAACTAGAATAGAATAGAAATAGAAATACTTTGCTGATCCGCAAGGGGAAATTCTGTTGTTATCATAGCAAGTGAAGAGTGAAGTGACCACCACCACAACAGAAAATATACAAAATGCACAATAAAGTATAAAGTACACTATGAATAAAAAAAATGCACCATAAAGTGTCAAATGCAAACAATAAAAAAATACAGTGATGAAGCTAACAATAAAAAATCAACAGTGAATTCAAAAACAAAACACCCCAATGCCAGCAGCGAGTGAAACCCTAAAGGTGGCAAATTTCTGTGTTTATATCAAAATCAAATGTTTCAAAATTATTACATAAAAATCTAATGCAAGCTAATACCCTGCTCATCTGCCTTTTTCTAAATCTCTAACAGAGCTAAAGAGTACAAACAAAACAAAGTTGGAGCACAATAAACATGTTAATAGGAAAATATAGCAGGTTAAAATAGACTAAAATTCTGCTTTTTAGATCTCTAAAATTAAAATATTTTGTGCAGTATATGTAATAGAAACGACCACTTTCATCGCTTTCTATTTACTGCAACAGTTACTCTTTGAAAATATGCAATCATCTTTATAATTTTCTTCACTTTCTATATGTACAAATTTTTTATTTTTTTTT